TAGTATTTTGTTAACTAGTTTGCTTTCATTGCTAATAAAGGTATTGCCTTAAAAAGTGAAATATAAATTTTTTTTATTACTGAAACAAATTAAAATTCTTTCTTTGCTTTCATTCCAGACACCTCTTCTACTTGAAGTGCCAAAAAATCCTCGAAAATTTCCATCTCGCTGCTCGCTTTCATCCGTTGGAGGCCATTTATCATAATCAGCAACCATTGAGTGGCACCACCGCCCAGAGTGACAAATTTTAAACAAATTAATAAAAATCCAAAATTAAAACAGAAACCAGACAAGAAGACACCCGCAACAGGCCACAAATCAAAGGCCCCGGCCACAAGGGGGAGGTTTCGCTGGCAAGGCCCCTCGGAACACGCTAATAAAATACAAATTGACGATAAAATTATTACAAATTTATGCAAATATTTGCGTGGTCGGGGTACTAGAGTACCCTGGGCACCCGGACAGCCTGCCGGCCTGCCAGCCTGACACCCTAGCCCAAAGCAAATTAATGGGCAAACACTTGAGAGCTTGAGTTTTGGTTAAATCTCCGGCGAAAGATGCACCGGCACATGGATGGGTCACATGAATGGATGGATGGCACATCCACTCTGGTGGTGGTTTCCGCATTCATAGAGCTCATGATTCGGGTAATAATTTATACGCCAATGCGCACGCGATGTGAGATGTCCTGCTGCGCGTAAACAGGAAACAAATTACGCTCGAGAGCAGTTATGAAATGCCATAAAGGCTCCCGGATCACCCGAATCACCCGAAGTCCTGTTCTCCTCGACTGACTGGACAGGAACAATAATGCATTAGTCGGCCGCAACCATGATGTCAGTCCAAGTAGTTCCCAAAAACGGAGTGAAATAGATAATGTGGCAACGAGCCAGGAGATTTTTCAGTATTTTCAAGGATATAATCCCCATCTCAGACCCCTTCCATTTGCCAAACTTGGCTGACACGTGGTGAGGAACTGCCAGGAGCAGGCAACGGAAGTTTTCCACTCGGCTCGCGTCATAAAAATCCTTTCATTTTGTTAGTCCATTGTCATGCGAACGATGGACGCCCGCCAGGAGCTTCCGATGATCAATAGGTTTTTGTCTTCTATATATAAATATAATATGCTTTTGCCAAAAAAAAAAATAGCCAAACAATTATTATTAATTAGGAAAGGTTTTGTGAAAATGAAAATTGGGGGTTTTAAATAGCTAATTGGAGGGCTTAAAAAAGTTATTCAATTGAGGCCTGAAAAATGTTTAATTGTATTACAAATAAGTGCTTATTAAGACCTAAAAGTAGAGACTTATTATCTTGAATAATTATATTAAAAAAATATATTTTTGAAACCAAATAATTTAATCATTAAAACTCCCTTTTGTAAAGACGTTCAGTGACTCTCCATTTATCATCCTTCCCCAGCTAATTTGCCTGCTAATGGTCATGATCCTTTGTTGCCTTTTCACCCTTTTTTTTCTCAACTGATTAAAAATATGTGTAATTTTTCAATTCCCAGACGACGATCGTCATGAACACATCAACGCCATAACCAGGGCGTAAGTGTTTTGGCACTCGACGTCCAGCTCAGAACTTTGAATACTGGCTGGCAGCTCATCTCATCAATCGCTGTCGCATGAGAGGGTTGTGGAGGGCTGTGGAGGGGAAACCGCAGAAGACTGAACCACAAATTTGTCGCCGTGTATACGCAATATGCTCCTTTGACAAATGCCTCGCACCTAATCAAATTTGATTCAACTGAATGAGCCACAAACAGTTTCCGTTTATGCAAATGCTACCTCGCTCGATGGTAGGTCCTCCTGGTAGGTTTCAGTTCCTGTTCCAACATTCAACTCCACTGGATGGATGGCTGGTTGGATGGGTGGGGTAGCTGGCACTCCAGTTCCAGCAATCAGTTGTCAAGTCGCGGCTGGTTGCAAATTTATCATCATTTAATTTCCATTTGCCGTTCGTGCCAAATGTTAATGACGCTGTTGAGTTGACAAGAGGAGCGACAGAGCAAGAGGCAAATCAGCGTTATCCTTTTTGGCGGCGTCTCCTTGCACTTACCGAATCAATTTCCTAGTCGCTTTGACGCGCAAACCCACCGAGTTCACTGACAAATTATGTCCCAGTTGGCATCGCGTATACGCCCCATGGGTCGCTACACCCCCCAACTCCGTTATACCAACGTTCTGGCTGCTCATTTGCCTAAGTGCGCCGGGTAGAGGCTTTTAATTAATTGTTAGCCTGCGACTTATTGACGGTCTGGCTGCTTGGTTAGCGTTTCTGGCCCAAAAGACCCAGACGTAGATGGTCTGTGGTGGGGTGGAGAGGAGGACACTGCTGCAGTGGAGGGCAGCAAAAAAAAATGTCAAACTAGCACTTAAAAAGCCGCCACGCTTTGCTACTTGTCAACCACGCGCCGCAGTTGCAGTGGCAGTCCCATAACCACCCTCGACAATATGCTTCACGTCCAGACTGAAGGGGCTGGGGTTCTATGAAATATACGAGTCTTGGCACTGCACTGCAGGGGCTTTACTTCAAAAGTCTTGAAGATAAATAGTCTTTAAAAATTAAACAAATATCATACTTAATAAAAGTTAATCTTAGGCATTTAATAAGCTAGTATTTACTATAACTTCTTCCCATTTTTGTAGCTCAGTGTAGTCTAGTGTTACAACCCCATTAAGCCATGGTAAATATGAAACATTTTGTCAAAAAGCCACCACCCACAAATTAGGCTTCGGAGACAACCTTTTGGGGAAGGAAAATATTATAGAGTGCGGGAGGGTGCGACAGACGACAGCCGCCATATTAAGGATTCAATGCAATGGAGTAAGGCCCAAGGATGCACATGTCCTGGTTATAGCAAAACAGAACAGCTTGACCCCTTTGCAGGCCTATCCTATCTTAGCCAATGGTTTATGACGAACCTTCCGCGTAAAAACTCAAGAAATTGCAAAGAAATGCTGGAAAACGAGTCCAAACTACTGGCCATCGAGGTCGTCGCAACAATTTGGCCAACAAATTGTATCACCTTTATGCTAATCCGTCTGGTCTGTTGTCGCTAATCCGGCGGATTAGCGTGAGCATCTTACGGTTAAAAAAGTGCACAAAAACAGAAGGGATTTTTGGGAAAAACTATAAGAAAATCAAGAGTCTGTTGTCACAGCGCTAATCCGGGTCTCACTTACCTCAGGTAGTTGAATAATCTACCAAAAAAAAAAAACAACAACATATATGCCCGAATAGATGCGTAAAAATTTGCACACTCCTTTCTGCGGACTGGACGCTAATCCCCGTCATAAAGTCGTAAAAAATCGAACAAAATTATATTTGTATAAACACAGGCGTGGCATTTACGTGGAGGGAGGTGTAGGCGAAGGCGTAGGCCAGTTGGGTCATAAAATCTTCTTCGACGATCCTTAAAAACCCAACGAGTTGAAAGTGGAATTTCAATTATTTTGGCATGAATTTCAATAACTTTCACGGGGTAATGGGGAAATGAGGATTAGAGAGGCGTGAGGTGTGATTTGGACTTAAGCTTGGCTTAGTCGATTGGATTAGGTCGGAAAAGGAGGTCACTTCCGTTGTAATAAGAAAGCGGAAGTGTCTAACTTTGACTCTTTTTATGGCTTTTAAAAATTATATTACCTGAAAATATTCAATATCCAAGAATTCAATCTTTATATAATTATTCAGTATCACGTCAACGTTGGGTAAATATTTGGAAGATGAATATATCGAATACCGATCGAACAACACAACAACCAATATCAACAATACACATAATAACAACAATAATCAATATTTGATATTTTAACACATTTGACATACAACTCTGGGGGGATATTTTGAATAGAAATCGAAGCCAACGAAAGGCTAGAAAAGACAATGCAAGTGGATTTATTAATGACAGCAATTATTCTTATTATTATTACAAGAAGAAGCCAAAAAAACAAAAAATCAAAAACGGAAAAAACACGCGTTGATTTCTTTCGCCGGGAGATTCTGTTACACTATAGTGACTAGGGTATAGCTGAGGTGTTTGAGGTCTTAGAGGGCCCCCCTGTTGATCCCAAACGAAAAACACAATGCGACCCCCATCCCAAGATCGAAGAGCGACCTTTTGTTCAGGCCATCGAGTTCTGTCTTGGAGGCGCAAAATAAACAGCGCATTAATCAATAGAAATTAATACACAACGGCAAATAGTTGTATAATGGCAAATCAAATTTTAGTTTTTTTCTTCCAGCTCAGCGGGTGTAAACTAACCAAAAAAAAAACAAAAAATGAGCAAATTAGAGGTAAAAAAAAATCCAGAGACAAGGTTAATACGATCACCGATGGGAGGGATCGAAAAGGTGAAAAGTCGTTCAAATTAATTTGATGATCAAATGTACGATATTCGGATGACTCACTCAACTAAACTGAGAATATTATGTTGATTTCGATTGAATATTCAAATGGCTTATTGATTTTGGGATGGATTTTAATCAGGCCTTGAAGAGATTAAAGTTGGAGTCTAAAATATGATAATTCAATTATGGAAAATTATAGATAAAATATTTGAAAATATAAACCATCTGCTCTGAACTCAAAATTAAAAAAAAATATTCAAAATATTCAAAGCCGTTAAGATTTTTCAAAGAAATAAGTCTCGTTTCAAAATTAGTTTTCCAATTATGGAAAATTAAAGAAAAATATTAGAAAATAAAGGATTTCAAATAGATTCAAATAGTATTTGGAGAAAAGTTCCAAAATATTTAATGAAGAGATTAAAGTAATAGTACTACTTTGGAGTCTAAAATATGATAAATTATGGAAAATAAATATAACATTTTTGAAAATATGAAGCATCTGTTTAGATCTTAAAACCTTAAAAAGAAGATAAAAAATATTCAAAGCTGTAAAGATTTCCCAAAGAAAAAAGTCTTTTTTCCAAATTAGTTTTTTTTCAAATGATTTTGTTTTTATTCGTTTTTCAATGTCTTTGTTTTGTGTTGGCATTCATTTACCATTTAGCGCTTAGTTTAATATAATTTTAATATAATTAATAATACAATAATACATTTATGTACCATATGTTCTAGGAAACTATAACGAAATGGGCTGGGATATTTACAATTTGAAGGGATTAGACTTTAAGAACTAAGAGCTAGACTATTAATTGGTGCTGACACGAAAAAAAACAACAAGGAGGAGGAGGAGGCGCTCTCTCTTAAATCTTAAAACTAAATAAAATTAATTTACAATTAGGTTTTGTTTTTTTGTCATTTGTTTTTGTTGGTTTTTGTTTGTAAGTTTAATAAATTATAGTTCATAGTATTGGCTAGGAATGTTCGGTGCTGGATGATCTTTCCTTCCCTTACTCTCTATGGTCTGACGTGCGAAGATTGTACTAGAATTAAGCGGAGTGGTTTGGAGGATTGGCTTACTTAGAGCTTTTGAAGATTTAAAACCAGTGGATCACTTTGGGGAATGCTTCAACAATTGTACTCTACTCTGTACTCTACTCGTCTCTCCGGCTCTAATAGAGCACCGGCACAGGTCGTCGCAGGGCGCTGTCCATGGATCCGTCCATGCCGTTGGGTGTGATGGTACCGGGCGAGGAGCCGGGCGAGGAGGTCGACGAGGATGTGTACAGACCGGCGGCGTTGGCGGAGTGGGCGGCATACAGGGAGGGCGCCGAGATGCCGGAATAGATGCCCGAGTAGAAGCTGCTCAGCGAGGTGGGCGGCAACTGGGGCGGCGCCTGGGGCTCCACCTTATGCACCTGGTTGTTGACGGCCGCCGCCGCAGCAGCCTGCGACTGGTGGAGCTTCGAGAGGGCCAAGGGGTCAAAGCCACCGAAGTATGGCACTGGGTAGGGCTGGTCCAGGTGGTGCGAGGGGGCGAAGTATGGCGGCAGCTGGTGGAAGGGATTGTAGCCTCCGGGACCCGCTCCGGCACCGGCACCCAGCTTCTGTTGACCCATGGGTCCTCCCTGCATCTGGAGGCCGCCCTGAGGTCCGGCGGTCAGGGGGTTCTTGGGCTTGCGACGTGGGCGGTACTTGTAGTCGGGGTGCTCCTTCATGTGCAGGGCCCGCAGGCGCTTGGCCTCGTCGATGAAGGGACGCTTCTCGGTCTCGGCCAGCAGCTTCCACTCGGCTCCCAGCCTCTTCGAGATCTCGGAGTTGTGCATCTTGGGATTATCCTTGGCGATTTGACGACGCTGGAGGCGGGACCACACCATAAAGGCGTTCATGGGCCGCTTGATGTGTCCCTCCTGGCCGGGAGAGGTGGCCAGGCTGTGCATGCCGCCGGACTGATGTCCAGACCCGGAACCGGAAACATTCATGCCACTGCCGCTGCTGCCCAGACTGCTCTGGCTGCCCAGGCTTCCGGCGGATCCGATGGAGCTGTTTGGCGACAAAGTCTGTTGGGCGGAGACCGCCTGATGCATGTGGTGTGTGGACATGTGTCCGGCAGACATGTGGTGGCCCATATTGGCGCCGCCAGCCACACCACCGCCGGCTGGTCCGGTCGGGGAGCCTCCCATGGCCGCCAGGCTCTGGGAGTAGTGCAGCACCCGCTTGATATCCATGTCCATGCTGGGACTCAGCTGGAGCTGGCCCTGGGGAGCGTAGTCCTCCAGTCCCTGGGGCTGGCCCAGATGGAAACCGTAATTGGGATGTGTCGATAAGGTGGCCATTTCAGTTAATGTTAACACTTTGTTTAATTATTTTTTTAGTTTTCGAAAATTCAGCACTTCACTTTCTGGTTCACAATCTGTGTCTCAGTGTCTGTGTATTTTAGTTTCTGATTTAAGATTCAAGTTCTCTGGATGCGATTTTGGATTTAATATTATTTGATTTTGATTTTTTTTCACCTTTGACTGGTAGCTCTCGCTTGTGCTTCTGCTCGGCTCGACAGCTACTCTCTGAATGATTTCTCCGGATCTCAGTCGAGGCGACACGACTGCAACCAAATCCAGTTTTGACTCTCGCCCCGAGAGCGTCAGGTAAGGGTGCGTAGGTCAGAGCGAGACGTCGACTGAGGCTGCTACCTGAGCTCCGTGATAAGAGATAGGCGAGAGAGCTGCGCCGGGCTGCGCTCTCACTCTTGCCCGGGCCAGCCAGCCATCGCTCCCTCTCACTTTGGTCCGGGCCATTGTTTGGGCCCGGTTGTTGGCTTTGTTCCATTGGCTCCTTTATATCGGTTATAGTTGTTCGCCCATTGAGGGGTGTGTTCAATAGACGGCGCTCAATAGAGCCAAAAGTTCGGCTCGGCTTCGTGTATGTTGTTGCTGCGACCTCATTCGGGTGATAGTGGAGGGTGGTGTTGGGGAAAAGAGAGAGCGACCGTGGGGGTGGGGTTGGGGGTTGTTGGGGAGCCTGGAGGAACATTGATTTTTGCACAGTGGGCACACAATTTCCGTTATTGTTTTGCACAGCGACGTTGCACTTCCGCAACTTGCATGCAGACGGAAAGAGAGGGTAGAGCCCAAAGCCGCTCTCTCTTTATTTCCTGTATGCGCATACATACATGAATGTGCGAGTGTGTGTGTGGTGGGCCAATCACAATGGGTCTTTGGTGTGAATTTTTGTCCATTGTAGGTGTCTGTGTTCGGCTATATACAGCCTCTCTATGTGAACAGTGCGCCTGTGTTGGTGTTTGTGTTTGCGTTTGTGTGAAAGGACTTTTTAGTTTTTTGAAAAGGACATGGAAACACGCTTACCATTCTCTTGGCCCGCTCTCCATTCTCGCATTCTTTCATTTCGCCTGCCATTCTTCGCCATTCTTTTCCGTTCCCTTTTTTTTTTATTCCCATTTCTTCCTGGCCGCTCCAAAAAGGATATTACTGCAATTATTTACTTATTTTGGCCATAGAAAAGTGAGCTCGAATGAAAAATGAAAAAAAGTTTACAAAGAAACGATGTAGAATCTTGAAAGTGGTTCTATATACTTGCCCTCGAATGTGCTGGAGCTATGGAATTGCCTAGAAACTTTATTTTTTTAGTTTAAAAATAGTCCTGAATTTTTAAGCAAAATTATACCAATATTGTATTGTTAGAAATTTAATTAAAAAATTGTCTTTATATAAAAAGGGACATTATTTCCAGCTTCATAAAGTTAGCCACACTCGTATCCTTTTTCCTAGCACTCCTCCCATATCCTTACACACGCATCCTTTTTAGCCAAGTTGGGTGCAATTTCCAATTGCATTTACAAAGCTCTTATACCTGGCCCATAGCGTAAGAGCATAAAAAGCTTTCAGCTTTCTCAACGTATCCTTTGTGTCTACGTTACCAAAAAAAAAATATTTAAAAAAAGGACTAAGCAACAACAAGGAAACTCAAATAATAAAGAAAGGAAAGAAAAAAAACTGTTGTATGTTGTGTAATGGAAAAAGTTTTGTTTGGGCAACATTTTCCTTTCTAAGCATTCAGCATTTCACTTAGCCGACGAGGACACTAAGTGAGTGATAAAAGCCTGTAGAGTGAGATAAATGGAGAAAGGCATAGGGACTTTTGCTTTTTAATAATCGTTTATAGGATTTGAGATAGACAACGATTTTTATTAATTGAAGAAGATCATTCCTACTTTATTTAATAAAATTATAGACCTCTGAAAGAACTAGGAACTAGACATTTAATATAAAATTATATTCCTCTTTGACATGTGTAGAGTTCAAGTCAAGTTATCCTGCCACCTGGATTTCGCTTCTCCCACTGTCCCACTTAACCCCGGCTCTGAACTGATTCTCAATTCTCCGATTCTCCAGAGAGTTTCGCGCTGTATTGTTCCCACTCCCCATTGTTGTTGTTTTCGATTGTTGATTGTCAATGTTGTTATTGTCATTCAATTGTCATTTGGGTGCTGGTTTTTATTATTATTTTATTTATTATTTTTTTTTCATTCATTCTTTTTTTTTTAATTAAATCCAGGAACAATTGACAATGCCCAGAATGGATTTAATGATAATGACAAAATTGAAACGACCATAAAAGCCAAAATGAGGTTACATTCCCCCCTTTTGTTGAGATGATTGAATCGTTCAATTATTGATACAGAATATTCATGTATCATTTTTGCAAGTTATATTACATTCATACATATACTTACATTATATAATATATGTAATTCAGTTCGCACATCACCTGGTGTGTCGGCAAATGGAAAAAGGCAAGATTTTAGCTGAATTTTCTCACGTTTTTGGTTCCGGCTTTGTTCCCTTTGCATTTCCATTTTTCCACCCACTGGATTTTCCGCATTGATCTCGTCAGGACTACAGAGTACGTGTCCATTTGATTGCCTCACAGATTTCGGCGCTTTTCACATGTCATTCTAGTTAAGAGCATTTTGGCCATGCTCACGATTTTCCATCCATCCATTTCCATCCTCTGTATTTTTGATCGTTTTTGGGATGAAAAAATGAAAAATTATAGCACATTTATCTAGGGAGGATAATGGGAATGGAAATGGGGAGTAGTACTTGGGGGTGGGCAGGTTCTCGTAGGGATAATGAAAATGTTTCGATGGTAATGATATAATTTGATAAATGATAAGGACTATAGTTCATAAGGAGAATTACTTTTCTTTCTTAAAATATAATTTTCCCATCATATCCTAATTTTCTTCTTAAAACCAGGCGTGATTATGCGACAAGAAATGACCAAAAAAATTGTCCTGGAAATTCGCCTACCGGCTGATCCCAAGCTCAGACCATTAGGAGAACAAAACGAGTCCCTTGGAAAAAAGGACGTCCCACATGTGCTATCGACTTCCGTTTCGGCTTCACCTGATCCAAACCGGTTCCGTCGCTGTCATGGATGTTGCACAATACCCACAACTTTTGTATCCGTTTGGTGCAACAACCATTGTTGTGCCCCCGTTTTCAGGAAAAACTCGAGGAAAACATGCCTGCTTGTTGTTTACCTCGATTTGTAAAGAATAGCATTTCCGGGGTCAGTTATTGTCATTCGGTATTGTTTCCAGGTTAGTGATAATATTTCGCAATATCATCCCAGGAAAAACAATTCACCTTCTTTTCCGTGCAACTTATGATATTTTCTAAAAAAGGATAATTGCCATGGAAAACATGTGTAAGCCCGCATGGAGCTAAGCAATTCTCTGAATATGAGAATATATGAATATGAGCTGGGAATTGTGGGAAAATGCAATGCAAATCCAATTGTCGGAGCTGTCAGAGCGTAGGTCTTCGATAGCCACTCATAATCCATGCTCGATTTGAGCTCATTACGATTCCAGGTCCTAGATGTCATAACAGATTAACCGAGAAACCTCCTCCAACTCTTTAAGAAAAAATGCCATTGTTCTTAACCCTTTTCCCAAACCGTCAGCCACTTGGCCTAAACGATGTTAATTTCTTAAACGAAGTTCGAGTGGTTCGAAACTTTTGCCTGGGATCTCTCCAACTCCGTCATTTTTTTTCAACTCGTTTGTAATCGAAACGAGCCACTTAAGAAACCGCCGCGATCCTTGAGTCAAATTTCTTTATACCTCGTTTTCATATTTCACTTCATTTCGTTTCGTTTTAATTCTTTTTGCATATATCCTAGAGATTTTAGGGGTTGACTTTCAGGGGAGGAGTGATTCTGCTACACTGAAAAAAACCCAAGCTCTTCCCAATCATAGGTATTTAATGGTTATCCAAATTTTTCTTCAAGTGTGGGCCTAATTTTTGTTGTCGCTGTTCTCCGAACAGCATCGTCGCCGTCAAAGTGCCCACTCGATGCGACTTCTGTTCGAGAGGACTCCGAAACAGTCGAACGGAGTTGAGGGGCCATGGTTTCCAGGCTGGAGTGGTTAGGAGGTGAGTTTTACTTCCGTGCCGAATCCCACGGTGTGTGTTTACGACCAACAAGCACAGTTGGAACGATCCTGCCCCGGTGGTACAGCATCCTTCCCTTCGATTAGCTGTCCAAAAAAAAAAATTCTCTAAAATTTTTGATCCAATTTCCAGTAGCCTCAGGCGGGCGTTAGGTGGGCGTGTCCACGGAAAAACCACAAACCAAATGAGGTCCACTCCACCTGACGGGCGGCTGTCAGAGGCAGCTTTCCAACCCGCCCCCAGGATATGCCATAAACGGGAATCGTTTTGACAGCCTATAATCTTGTTTTCCTCAACAATTCACGCCTTCTCGGTTTTTTCAACAGATTTATGACTTCATTAGAGCAAGCTGTTAATGCGTAGTTTATATTTCCTTAACTTAATATTTAACTTAAAATTTAAACCCCTTTTTTCTTTCCATTTAATTATCCTTGCGGTCGCTGGTGCTGTCGCTTTGATTCATTTTCCTTCGGCTTCTAGGTGTAATTAATTTTAGTCATTTGGCAAATGGTTTCCCACAAAGTCAAAGGGTTTGATTGAGCGCATTTAATGCTGGCTGAGATCAAAGCGGTCTTTAAGCCATTCAAAGACACCTTGACACCCCCCGCCCACACTCACTTGTTTATTTGTTTGCTTTTTCTATTTATTTTCCTTGGGATGAATTGAAGGCAACATTTTCACTCAAGTGATTTGATTTGGCGAATTGAATTTTTTGCCCAAAGTGTGTATGCATATCTAGACCAAGAATCGCACCATATCGAGTGGGGGAGGGGACCCGGCTCTGAAGTCATTCAATCGCTCCGTCAATCAGTCAGTCAGTCATTCAGACTTGGCGGCGTCGCCGTTGTTGATTGTTTGCTTAGCGTCCTCCCGCGAGACTCAAGTGGCAAAACATTATTTTGTTCAGGAAATTCAATTAAAACTTTGCGGTTAGAAGTTGTTTTTTTTTTTTTTTTGTTGCCTTCATTCAGGGGGGTCCTGTTGATTTTCAAGTGGTTTTCAATCAAATCGAGGCGTATTATTCCAAAAGAATGTCAAGGGAATGGGAGTTGGGAGTCAAAGAATCAAATCAATAAAATATTTAAAAAAATCAGGTTTGTAACTGGAAGATGTATTTAAAGTTTAATCAGAGTAGTTAGATAGAAAAACATCATCAATAACAATAACTTAAAATGCCCTTCAAAGAAAACACCCCAAAGCTATCTATTGGAAGCCATAAAAGTTCCACTTTATGAGCTGGCAAACAGATATAGATTCGCGGCAAGTGGCGGCCATTTGAATTAAGCCAACAACTTTTATGGAGCTCGTCTGGGCCAATAAAGTTACACTCTAATAGTAGATGGTAGAGGGAGATATACAACCGTTTATCGATTTGCCCATCATGATAACGATTACGTAATTGCAATTGTAGGAGGAACACAAAAGACCGAAAAGAAAAGATACAGATTGAAAGAAAAACAGATACAGAGATTCAGATACAATAGAACCGACACCTTGCTTGTAGTCCTTGATATCAATGATTGACATCAATGGGAGCATTGCCGAATAATGCGTGGGATCCGATCTTATGAAACGATCTGGATTGGAGATCCTTTAGAACCGGAAACGTTTAGCAGCCCGCCAGCCTTTGTTCGAACAAAAGATGCATTTTTTTGAGAAGCAAACTCGAGGGGTAGCCAGCCTTCGGGATGGAAAGTGTTAAAGAGCAGGGATCACTCACGTTTTAGGGGCCTCAGCTTGACTTTAATTGAGTTTGAATAGAGCAATTTAGTTCCCGCTGCGATCGGGTCCAAGTAACCTAACCAATTCTCAGCTTTTTTTATTTTGTATTTTTGCATTACAACTCGATTCATGCAAAAAGTTCTCAGCCCTCCAGAAAAACGCATTTGTTTTCCCTTCTGGTGTGGCGATAATGATATGGTGTCCAACCCTTGACGATCATAACAATGGGACTTTGCTTAACCCCTCAATCGTCTACCACCCTCCCCCCCACGACAGCACCCCATTCTGGGGAACAATTACCATTTGAATGTGTCACAGTGTGGCCAGAAAGTATGTTCCCAGCTCTGACGATTGGCTTTGGCTTTGTGTCCTGGCCGTGTAATTATACGCCTTCGGTTCAAGGTGTCGAGTTCGTTGGTTAATTATATGTTTTTGGGCCTCAGTACCACGATGGCAGCTGTCAACGCCCTCTTTCATAATTTTTGCATGTAAATATTTTTTTTTCCCAAACTCTTGTTAGTGTTTAGTACAATGTCCAATTTTTAGTAATATTTAAATACTTAAACCCTAGAGATATGGATCTTGATGGCCCACTCGACTTGTGAAATTCCAAAGTCATAAAAAAGGCTGAGAAAGCTGTTTAATTACGCCCCTCGACATACTATACTATACTATACACAAACATTGTAAAACAATAACAATAAAATCGCTGAAAGGTAATGGGCCAAGGAGAATGTGAAATGGTAATGCAAACAGACTGGTTTTTCACATTCCCAGGAATTCCGGGTAAAACGGGACGATTTATGATCCTTAAGCAACATCGTTTATAGCGCAATTTCGGAGGTGAGGGGCGTTTGCCAAATGACTTTTAAATGCCGTCTGTGATTTTGGCCTTAACTATCGTAATTGTTTCCTCGGTCTTGTTTTCTTTTTTTTTTAAGAAAATAATTTACAAAAATTGGAAAGAAAAACGGTGAAAAAAACCTCAAGAATTATTCTCAACTCGGTTTGAATCCTTTAGGGACTTTTGGTAAAAAGAGGCATTCAAACAAGAATTATGGCCCATTCCCTGGTGAACAGGCACTAGAAATCAAAAGGAAATTCGATTTTCCTTTCACCTTTCCTTTGACTGCCTTTTTCTTGCCTAGAAATTTCCCCGGCTTTCTTTTCGAGAAGCTCGAGAGTTTGTTTAAAGTAAATTATTTATGCAAATCAAAGTGCAAAAGAATGAAAAGTTTGCAATTTATTTTCGTTTTCCATCGATTCGGGGGTTAAGGGTATGACCTTTGTTAACTATGTTTGCATTTCTACTTTGGCTCTTTGATTTAAAAATGTCAACGTTTTCGAGTCCACCCACTCATGGAAATGCAAATATGCTTAGCACTCGCACTAGACCCCTTTTGTTGAATATTTTTCCAATTTTTTTTGCGGGCTTAAGTTTATGAGGACATTGATTTTATTAAATGTTATTTTAAGAGGAAATTGGATTTGAATTTCTGTGTTTTTTGTGGCTCCTGTCATTTACATAAAACGACACTTGTGGCTGTGACAGCACACATCCATTATGTCATGTGATGTAAAGTATCCCTGAAAGGACTCTTAAAACTCTCATTTTTTTTTATGTGATTCGAATTTTAGATTCTTAATTTATTGCATAAAACGAACACATTTTAACAAGGCTCAATAAAACTTGAACTAATTAAGTGACTCTGGTTTCTGACTCTGGATCTTCTTTAAAAGTTGTTGTTTTCGGAACTCTCCGATTTCGGGGCTGTCCCAAAGAACTTTTCGTATTCCTGTTGACGGCGACGGGCCCGGATCTCCCTTTCCATTTGCCTCTTTTTGGAGAACCTCTGATGGATGCGTTTCATTTCCTGGACTTCCTTCATTTCCTCCTTTTCTTCGTCCTGAAAATTGCAAGTTTTTAGTTTGTTTTCAAAATAATTAATATTTAAGGGCCAAGGACACCCACACTCATATTTAGTCGCAGGACCAGAGCTCTCCTCCCATCGGACATGGACTGGCTGTAGTGCATAAAGTTCTTGAGGCGTTCGGCGGGTGGGACACTCCTCTCCACCACCAGGACGATGCGGGCCCATTGGCGCTGCCATTCGTTGCGAATTTCGGCAATCTTCTGGTAAGTGTTACCCATCATGGCAATCAACATGTTCACCAGCAGGACACTCACAATCACCATGAACAGGAAAAACAGGATCTTTGCCTCGTACTCGTGCTGGGTGGACACCATGGCGCCATAATAGTCCCCGAAATTGGTAAGAGACATCAGAAACATGGCCACAATCGATTCCATGGGCGAGGGCATTGGATTGGACTCTGCATCCTGATCCTCGGGGGTCGATGGGTTGTCAAAGGTTAGAAATATTATATAAAAGGCCTGAGAGAAGCCCATTACAAACACCAAATAAATGGAGACGAATCGGAGCAGATCTCCCATGACCATGCGGTATATCATCACTACAAAAGGACCTACAGTTTTAAAGCCACTGGAGGGGGATTGTATTTATAATGGTTATCATATCTTAGATATTTTAATATAAAACTTACCGACAAAAAAATAGAAAATAGGGAGCAGTGGTTAGCATTATACAAACGGTGACATGATCGTCGATTTCGGTGAGACAAGAAACCCTCAGCCAGGGAATGGTCATCATCAGGGCGCAGGAGAACAAGAACATGACACGCGAAGGAGCTGTCATCTGAAGGATATATGATTTTTAATAAAATATACCACTGATTCTGAAATATTTCGAGTTTCTTACCAAATTCTCTATAAACATTTTATAGCCCAAAAAACGAGCCTCTCTCAAGGCCACTAGAAGATATAGTATGGCTCCCACAAAGTTGATTAGTTCAGCCATTATACGTAGTTTCGCCAAATCGGATTCCAGATTCATCAAAGGACACTGGGCATAGCTCTCCCACCAGGCTGGTAGAACCTCCACCTCGTTGGGATCATAATACTCCGTAAAGTTGAGCCAAAAGGTCTCTAAAAAAATAAATAGGTTATTAAATTCCAATTTTAATAAAAATCCAATTCATACTCAACTGTATTCGGTAGTTTGTGAACCCCTCTTGGTGTGATGATGTAGGGAATCCGAGCTATTCTGTCTATACAAATCATTCTTAACCGTAGTACTGTTGCCCTCCTCATCATCCTCGTCCTTGGCATCCGGACCAGGACGCAGGATGAAACTAAACAGCGAGATCAGAAAGTAGAAGGCAAACATATAGAACTGCTTGTAGAATCGCGATTTGCAGAATGTATCCCATTTGGTCTTTAGGAGATCAATGACCACACCATCCAGCAGTTCCAAATGCTCCAGCTTATCTCCGAAAACCACAAAATTAAGCACCGAGTCCTTGTTAATGTTACCCGTCTCCTCGTTTATGGTGTCGATCATCAGCAAAGGATATGCGGCACAGGTGATGCTCCCCAATTGCCAATAGATTTCCCTCTCGATGCTCATCACGTGGAAGAACATCTCCACCCGGCCCAGCTTGGCGGCCAGGGTCAGAGGTGTGAGATTTTGGATATTCTTGACATGGATATTGGAACCCACTTCATAGGCCACATCGAACATTTCTATCTTTTCGTAGATGACCAGCATGTGGAGCACCGTGTTGCCGTTGGTGTCCTGGAAATCGGGATCTGCTCCGCGGGCGAGGACCAAACGGAAGCACTCCTCCTGCGACAGACAGGCAGCAAAGCTCAATGGATATTCCCCCCAATAGACATAGCCATCGTAGTTGGTCATTGGACAGAGGGCCACGTACTCGTGTTCTGGGACATCTGTACGCGAGAACTTGGTGTCCTCCGCCGACATGAAGGCGCCACAACATCTGGAAATTGAAAGTAAAATATTAAATAAATGTTTAAAATAAAAAATAAAATCTATTACCTCTCTTGGACATCAGCATTGGCATCTAGCAGATACTTGACCATGGCAGGGTCTTCGTTAACAATTGCTATGTGAAGGACACTTTCCCCGTAGTACTCGTCACTCATGTATATATCCAGGATCAGTTTTGGGTAAAACTTAAGCAGCCTCTTGGCCAGATCGGCGTGCAAGGACGAAGCGTTCAACAGACACAAGTGTAGAATAGTTTCCCCCACAGCACCACGCATCTAAAAAAGGATAAAATAAAATATATATAAAGCTTCCATTAGAATCCTTCTACTCACATTCAGATCCCAGCAGACAAAACGATAGGCTGTGGGATTGGAGATGTACTCCGCCTCTGAGACCTCCGGACAGTAGTCGTGGATATTGAAGTCGTCATCGGGATTTTCCAAGGCCCGAATTTCGGGTAGCTGGCGTGTCCTGGGACGGTCGCGATTCCGCAGAAGGACAAGCTTGGAGATGGGAAAATACCGACCAGCGCCCTTGTTGTAGAGAAAGGGCTCCACTTTGGTCTTGATGGCGTGATCGATCTCCGCAAACTGTTTGGTCTGACAGGCCCTCTTCATCATGTCCACCAGCAGACCACCGCCCTTGAGATTCACGAATTTGTAGAGGGCCTGGGTGGAGACTCCAGCCTGTTTTTTCACTCCACTGGTGACATTACTCTCCGTATTCCCCATGCTCCAGTCCTGATCCTAATACCGATCCCGACTTTAAACTCGATTTCCACTGGATATATCAGTTTATTTTTCAGTTTTGTGACGCGACATTGCTGTTCAGACTGTCTGCTCTTGGAATTTTGCTTTTTGTTATGGCGAGGTCCTTGTCCATTGGTGGCTATCGACAAAACATTCCATAGCACGCCCGTTGCCAATGCAACAGCTGAACTTGAGCTCCTTTGGTCTGTTTGGGCTGCGTTGCCAGGACATTGCACCTGTTGCTTCGATCAACAAGTCTCCTGTCCATTGCATGTTTATGTTTACAACTCCAAACACTTTGTTGTAATTCATTAACTTATTGCTTTTTTTGACGGCTTTGAAGGTCCATTTAAATGCAATTATTTGAAAACATGTACTATTTAGTTTAGGGATCCAAATGTATAGAAAAATCAAGATTTATAACATGATTGATAGTTATTTTAAACAAGGGTAACGTCGGTATAATACTATATTTATATTTTCTTAGCTTTTTACATAAATATAATAGTTATTTTTATTTTAAGCGATTAAAAATTTAATTTGAATTTCAATCACGCGCTCTAAGAAAATATCTTTCCAACTCTTCCCTAAAAACATAGAATGGTTGTGGTTTAAGCTATTTGACAGTTAGTCGAGACAACAACCGGAAGTAGCGATTCTATGTGGTTGAAATATAAATTTCGAGAGATTGCCATACCTGTAGAGTTTTGTGAAACTTTTTTCATATTTGTCCCAAAATATAATGATATGGTAAACATTTTTTTACTGATACTGATTTATATTTTTTTATATACACATTTTTGTGTAGATTTATTTATTTATTATTACTATAAACAATGATCTGTTTTTCTAGAATATTATATTCAAAAGAAAATTATAAATTAAGGTAATAGAATTTCCAAAATATGAGATTTAATTATATCTAGAGAGAATTAAAAGGATAATAAATGGAAAAATAAGTTGTAATTAAAACTTTAACTAACAAATATCACGAAGCGGTTTATGTTAAGTGATATCAGTATTACTGATACTCATTTATATCTAAACTTTTCAAATAGGAATATGTTTATTTAAAAAAATGCTTGGATGTGTCGCATATATTTTTTATACAAAATATTATAACTACAGTTTAAATCAAAATTTGTACGAAAACAGAATTATATGTTCAACATATTTTTTTATAGACGACTGATTCTGATTAATGTCTAAATATAAATATAAAAATATATTTCGTATATTTTTATAAGTTTCCTTCTGAATTTTATAATGTAAAATAATATCGTCAAAACGAGGGACGCTAAAAAAAATGCATAGTTTAAAATTGGTTACACTAATAGGAAATTATCTAAAACAAAAACTGGTCTCACTAAAGACAGAGAAAATCTATATAAGCCACCACAAAGAGCGCCGGGAACTTTTTGAGAGCAGAAACCAAATCGAACAAGTGTTTTAACGAAAACCACAATAAAAAATATGAATATTTGATTTACGACAAAACAAACCCCCCCGACCGGCATAATAACCCTAGTTTTCTTAGTGCTTATGGCTATTTCTATAGTTTAAATTTTAATCCAAGCCTAGAGTGCGCGCGCGTTGCAGTTTTTGTTTTCCGATTTCCACCTACGGAAAAACCTAAATCACAACCAACCAAAAAAAAAAGTTCAAGACGTTGCCAACGTTACGCACGCGTACCATTACAGCCAAAAAAAATATAAAGCCTAAAGCACACCACAACATAGGCATACAAATAATGTTTACGTGAGCGGAAAATGCTGAGTGAAAGTGCAAGATATATCCAATTAACAAAAATCACAAATTCCCGAGTGCATTTCCAGATTTAAGCCACGAATACTGCTACCAACTACCTGTTCTGCAACCAACAACAACCACAAGTGCGAGCATATAACTGTTGCGCACCGGTTAGCTCCGTCTTTGTCTCGCATTTGAGAGTGTGTGTGTGTATTTGTGTCTCAAGTTGTGTTCCAAAATTTTGTTTATTTGGATTTTTAAACAATTCATGTCCCATTAACGAAACAATTCTTCTACCTGTGTTGCTGCTGCTCCAATTGGATACGAAAGAGATATATATTTTAACAGGTGTGTGTATATGCCCGCCCGACTAACTGTTTCCCAAAAACGGCTGGTCATTAGCCAAAACTTTAAGCTAACTGGTGGGGTGTACCGTAACAAACCGGATTTAACTAAACTTGGGGTTAGCCCCCCACTAATTGAGGAATATGCAATAAATGGGCGAAAAGAAAACTCATCCTAACTGAGTTTTAGTTAAACAGGTTCTACAAGTACAGTAGTTTATAGGTAGATTTTAGTTGGGATTCGACAAAAAAACTATAAACGTGTATGAACTATAGAACTATATAAATATTATATGCAGGATTTTATGACACAATTTGGTTCTAATAACCTTAGTACACTCTAAAGCTTGTTATAAAAATGTAGAAAATGTTTTCTCTCATATAGTCGAACTCGAACTCGAACTGCAGTCCATATATGTATTTGAGATTTGAGGTTCTAAAGGTCTATAACCGTAGACTATAACCGTATTTTATAAACATAAATATTATTAAAAGAATCTATAATAAAATCTATTAAACAGTATCGAACTCGAAGCCCATTCCATATATGTTTGAGGTTCTAAAGATCTATAGCCATAGACTATAACCGCGTTGTATAAATAATTTTTTGTTTAAAATAAAAATATATACACTTTATTAGAAGAATCTATAATAAAATTTTGCTTAAACTCAAAAGCTTAATTTAAAAAAAAATGTTTTCTATCTTTGATAATTTCGAACTCGAACCCCAGTGTCCATACATACATATATGTTTTAGGTTCTAAAGATCTATAACTGTAGACAATAACTTATTGTGTAAATGATTAAAAATGGATGGAATAAAAGTCATAATGACTATTATTATATATGTAATAATGTGGTCATTATGACTTCTATCATAATCATAGCTTTATACAAACAACGTTATAATAACTATAAGATTATTGATGAAAAATAAAGAATTACTTGAAGAAGATATTAAAATTCATATACATATGTATTTATATTTAACTGATAGCTCTATGATTAATTTCCTTGTCATTTTTTGCTAAAACTGTCACGCATTCCTGTGTGTTATTGATTCTCGAATATCCCCCCACTAAACCCCTACTTTCGTTTTTTGGCAATTAAGTAAATGATTTTTGCTCAGTTAGCGTTTAACGTATTTCTTGTGTATGTATGTATGGGTGAGGGGTATCTGTGTGTCTGGGACAGTTGTAACATTTCCACGAATGCGAAAATTCGCTATTGTTTTTATTTGTTGATTTTTCCCCTCGACGCTGGCTTTTTATTGTTTTTGTAATTGTTGGTTTTGGCCAGGTTCGTGCCAGTCGGAGACATCGTTGACTTTTTGTTTGGTTTATTTTATTATTTGGTTTTTGTTTTGGCTTTTTTTTTATTTTGTTTTTGTGGTTTTGAGAGTTTGAGGAAGCTTTGCAATGTGGATTAATTGTTTCAAGAGAGGGCATTGCCATCTGTTTCCGGACCACCTGCTTAAGGATGTTCAGTCTTCAGGATATAACCTATAAGTAGACTAACAAGTGGCTCATCTTGTACTCAAGTGGGATCTTCAACTCCCTGTGTAATCTGAGCTCCAAGATGGGAAATCTGTAGAAACAGCTGCTTCCTCTTTCCCTTATGATTGCATCATGCTGCACATTCTGCTTCCTTTTTGGGCGTAATTCGATATTTTTTGTAAATGTGTGTGAGGGTTTTCATTTCCCCTAAGTTCATTTTGGCCTCTGTTTAACATGGTCTAGAGCTCATGCCCTCCCCCACCCCCCTCTAACGGTTCTCGGTTTCACATTTTGCCAAGTCTGCCAGAAAAAAAAACAATACTGGCCTGGCCAAAAGAAAAGAAAAAAATTGGCTAAGAAGAAATAAATTTTGCTGCTGGCTTGGAATATTTTCGCCTTGGCACAGTTATGCGGCTTTTGGTCATGTTTTTTGGCTTAGTCAGTTACGTGTTAAATATTAAAAAATATATATTAAATACTTAGTTTTACTTCAGATATTTTCGAAGCAAAAAGCCCCATTATTTCCAGACTTTCATGGCCAGAAATTCCCTTTCCCTTAACAAAAGTTAATTAATATTTTAATTATCGTATTGAGAAGCCATAAGCCATAAGGCAGTGAATGCAAAAATACGAAAAAAAACCGTAGCTAAAATTAAGTGTAATTAATTGCTTGAACTTCAATTCAACGCTTTTCAAGGTAAACAAGTTGAAATAAAAAAAGATTTCGTATATATATAGTATGTATATATCGTTTTTTTTTGTTTATAAACAAGGCATTGATAAAAACTCGTGCCAGTTTTTTTTTTGTGTTTTTTGTGCCAAAAGATACCAATAAGAAGAGCTCTTGATTGAACAAATGGTTGATGAAGAGCCTGATGACGTCGTCAATTGACATTTAATTGGTTTAAAAATGCAACCTGAAACCTGAAAGACTCGATGATCGACCGACCGACCGACTGACTGACTGAATGGAAATGCATTCAAAATTTGGGTCAAAAGCCTCTTTGGTTGCCACGTCTTTCACCTGTGACTCGATGGTTCAATGCTCTAAGCCAGAAGTCAGTCATCAGAAAGAGGTTATAGCTATTACACTTTAAATTAAAACTAGATTTTTCTTATAAAAGATATGGAATATAGGTATTTTTTTTCAAGTGTCTTTACTCAGGAAATCCTCTTTTTGAAGAACCCGCATCTAGCCAAAGTAAATAATTGCGGCTAACGAAATGCATTTCAAACAAACAAAAAAAACCTGATGTTTCTTTGGGAAATAAAAAAGGAAAGGTCTCTTAGAATCCAAGTGAGGTGGAGGCACTGCCACAACTTTAAACAGGTGTCGCATTTTATGACAGTCTGTGTTTGTGTTTTGTGTTTTATTATTGTTCTGTCATGTGGC